CACACACACACACATACACACACACACACACACACACACACACACACACACACTCAGGATCACTGAACCAGGCTGAGCTGGCATGGCACATAAGACGCCCTGGGGCTGAGTATGCCATGGCTGTGCCGGCTCCCCACAATTGAGTTTAATATGTAGTTGAGCTATTTCATAACAACCCCCAACCCATATAATTTTTTTCCACAGCCATTTTTGCTAGATTGCTTTATGTCTAATCATATGCACATTAGAATCAACTTGCCTAGTTCCAAAAGAAATCCTCTGTGGGTGATTCTAGCAGACATCCTACTTAAGTCTCACTGTTTCTATCATGACATTATTCAACAGCAGCAATCACAGCAATCCTAAAGTCTTCCCATTTGTATTTATGTGCTTTTGAGAGCAGGTCCACTCTCGCCTACCTGGCCTCCTTTGAAGTAAAAAGTACAGGTGGTTGACAATTCTGCAGACACACAAGGAGCTTCTAACTTTTTCACAGACGCACGCAAGGAAGTCCAGCCCGGATTCCAACAACTTCCCTGTAGGCCTGGGTGTCAGCATCATGTCGCAGCCTTGAACATGCCTCAGCTCCAGCTCCCTCTGAGCCCCCTGGGTACCCCATCCCACTCCAACTCCTGGATCAGCCTAGCACCCTGCTCTTCCTCCAAACCAGGCCAGCCCCATGAAGATTCCCCGCTCACACCATACTGTCTCTACGCTATGGGCTCTTCCCTGCTGCCAGCTCCCCCTGGAGCTGGGGAGAGGGGACCAGGATCCCCTGGAGTGGAGGAGAGAGGACCAGGCCACATCCTGGGCCCTCCACTTTGGGCTCCACTCTGGAGGAATCTTTCACCGCCCAACCGCCTGAGCCTCAGCCACCCCACCCAGAATAAAGGCTTGAGGCACTGGCACATACCAGGCACAGCCCCCCTCCCTCCCAGTCAATCCTATGGGAACCAGGAATGGGGAGAGAATGGCATCCTGTGAAACAGAATGGGGCTTTAGAGATTGGTCTGGGGGACTCAGAGAGAGACAGAGATCCTGCAGTGAGGGGCCACCTGGGCTGTAAGGGCCCTGCTCACCTGCTGTCCCCTGGGAGTCGGCACCCCACAGAGCAGGGCTGGGAGAGGCTGGCCTGGACTTGAAGACCTGCTTTCGTGGGAGTGAGAAGAACTGACAGAAGGGGGAGAGGAGGTAGGGTCTGACCTTCAGCGTCACAACTTCCCAGAAAACAGCTGGGGCAGGGGCCCTTCTTGGGGGGGCTTCTGACTTGAGCAGATAATCAGGCAGCTAGAGACGGCAGAGCACACACAGACACACACACACAAACACACTCTCACACTGGTACCTACTCAGACTGCACACACACTGGGGCGAACACACCCACAGCACAGGCAAAGCCATCTGGCTCCTGTTGATCCACTCAACCCTGGAAAACCCCAGAGGGGCCCCTTTGTCCCAGCTGGATGCTAGGAAACTGCTTGTTAAAGCCCAACCACCCCTTTTCTGCCACTCCTTCCTGCCACTCGGCTCATCACCTTCCTCTCCCTCAGCCTGGTCTCCGTGCTCAGCTCCTCCAGGCCTCCCTGCTCCACTAGCCTCCGATTCCTGGGGAGCTTAGGTGAGGCAACCCCCAGCCCCGGCCCTTTCCCACAGACCTGCTCACAGGACCCCTCTCCAGGGGAACTCATCCTGCTGCCCCTCACAGCCTCTGCAGCCTCACCCCGCAGAACTGGCTGGGAGGGAGGGAGGGATGGA